AGAGCGTTCCCAGAAATGGTCAAAACTTTCAGGCACTAATGCCCTTCTTAGCTAAAATAACAATTTTCTGAGAGACCAAATGAGCTACACACTTTCGGTCGCTCCAATCAAACCTCAAACTGAGCACAAAATCACATGCTTTCTTGAACTCTTGCCCAAGGCTCAGTTCATTTGCCTCTGAAAACGAAGCAGGCAAACCAGTACTGGACAACTCTGGGCAGAGAAGGCAGATGCACTTGATGATACAGAAAAATATTTCTTTGTATTGTACGATAAAAGAACAAGGAAAAGGTTACTAAAAATTACTAAACCTGATTGAAGTAACAGAACTGAACTATGACCTTTTATGTGGAATTTTTTTGTACCTTTATACAACTCTTGGAGTACTCCAAAAATAACATAAAATGCACACTATTGCCCAGGGCTCCTGCCAGTTAGCAAAATAACTTTCTGCCCCGAGGGCCCAATATCATAAACTTAGTGGTGACTCTGTTGCAATGTCCACAATTAAATAGGACCCTGAAATTATGGCAGGGGGGGTACATGTCAGGATTAGCGCTATTTGGAAACATCAGGTGTATCTATCACAGGTTGGAACTAGCTTTGTTTACCTTCAGCTCTCATAAAGTCCACCTCAAAAGACTATAAAAAAAAAAAAGCAATGCTACTTTTAAAATGTATTATCACACTAGCGCCCTAGCAATACCCAGATAGCCTCGGCCTGTAACGAAATTTGTTCAGCCAGTCACGTTTAATGGGAATAGGCACAGCCCTGGAATGACTCTGCAACACTTTCTGACCTCAGTGCTGCTGGGGCAGCACATCCGATTTCACAGTTGTTCTTCCCGGCTCTGCTAACACCATCACAGCTGCTAACAAAGAAACAGAAATGCTTGCTTGGAGTGGGCACGCAGGGAACGTGAGACTAGCTTAATGGAAAAGGCAGAGGGAGGGAAAGCAGCAGGGAAAGCAACAGTGGTCTTTGGGCATCTGCTGCAGGCAGCGGGGGTCAAAGCACAGACAGGGAAGGCAGTGCCAGCCCTCCCCAGGGACGCACTACGGGAGAGGGGGCTCCAAAGTGGGTCCTGCAAAAGGATGCTCTATGGGTGGGAACCCCCGAGGAACGACCTGCAGCTTAGCCAAGCTGTGCCGGAGCGATTGCAGATGTGCAGGCTCCCAACCACAGCCCGCCTCCCATATGGGAGGGAAAGTGAGGAAAAGCATGCCTGAGCTTGACCGCTGCTGCTGCCGGGGACGAGGGGCTGCCAAACCCCTGGGATGGAGCAAGTGGGATGTGGAGGTGGCAGAAAGGGGCTCCAAGGACGGACACACCCTGCCCCAGCTCTGGGCAGGGGCGCCCAGAGAGCAGGAGAGGAGCAGAGGGCATGCACGTTGCCCAAAGTGACTGAGGGGCCTGTGCCTCTGTACCAGCTCCAGGACGCCACGCTCATCTCTTTGGCTCACTGACAGTACTGGTCTTACTTTTATTCCCACTGAGAGGGGAGCACAAGTGGCAGGAGGGATTTCTGGTGCCATGGAGGCCACAGATGCTCTGCGGCCCTGTAGGAGACAGTTTGGCACCCAACTGCTATGCTGCTTTCTTCCCACCCTCGGCTGAAGAGCTGCAATGTCACGGAGCCCCAGTAAGCACACAGCCAAACTGGATATTCCAGTTTAAGAGTTAATAAGGGAGGAAAGAAAATAGTAGTCTCAAAAAAAAGACAGACATTAAAAAAGAGAAAAGAAAAAAAAGCACAACAACTCCCAAAACTAAAAGAAAAAACCAAAAACCCCACAACCCCAAACCTCAACTCCCTCAAATATTAGAAAGATTAAACCAGAAAAAAGTTGTGGCAGATACTCCACAGTGACAGCCTGTCAAACATTTCCACCCGTGTCAGTTGGCTGATCCCGATGAAGCAGTGCAACGGCATGACCCCAAGGAACCATATTTGCACTATACAGCACGTCATCAATCCTGACTGCGCGAGGGAGGTCTCCAGCTTGAAGCCCTACCTTTCATCAGAAACATTCTTCAGTCATAAACTGACAGTTAAAAGGTATTTTATGTCCAAATTGTCGGTTAACTCATTACAATGCTTGGCATCAAATCAACAAGCAGAAGAATTCCCCTACCCACCCCCAGCAGCACAAAGTTGCAGCAGTGTTAGAATTACTAGGCTGTTGGGGTTTGGGGAGCGGGGCGGGTATCTTTTGTGTGAGGTTTTGGGGGTGTTTTGGTTTTGATGGGGGGTTTTGTTGGGGTTTTTTTGGCTTGTTGTTTTATGGTTTGGTTTTTCCTTTTTTAAGAAAAACTGCAAAACACCCTACATTTAATAATTCAAGACTCCTTAATATTTCCAGAGGCTCTTTTGATCTGCCGTGTTCCAGTGCCTGCCTGCTTTTTCCACTTCTGTGAAAAGCGTTACATCTATCCGCATTAGTGGCCTCTTCTAATACTAATTATAGAACCCATAAAAAGAGATTTTTGGCATACAAGGCTACCCACTCTCTTTCTGGATTCCATTTTCCCATCTTTTCTGAGGACTGTCTAAATGCAAACCAATGCAATGTGAACCCAAGAGATGTTCTAAGATAGTCCACTATAATAAAGAGATAATTACCTCTGAGTACGTATTTGGTTGCATGAAACTAAAAGGCACAGAAGAAAAAAGCCTACCTCCTTTTTGGGAAACCTCGTTGGGAAATGAAGCCATTCATAAGCTGTTTTTCTGGTGATTCTGGGATCAAGAATCCTGATTTGACTAGATTTGTATATCATGTTCAGCGCCGGTTTTTTCCAAAAGCCTTTAGCACTCTGTAACAGGTAAGCAAATACACATTGTTAAAGGCTATAAACAGTTGATTTTGGTTTTGTAGCAACTCTAAACAGAGTAAAAACCCAGGGCAGGAGGTTGAGGAAGCAGAAGAGAAGCGTTGAACCTCCCAGACTTCAACAAAAACAGGCGCCAAATCGTGCCCCTGCAACAGCATAACCCACTGCAGCAGCAGAGGCCGGGGCTGGCTTGGCTGGAAAACAGCTTTGCAGAAAGGTCCCTGATGGACAGCATGCACCAGCAGCGTGCCCTGGAGGCAGTAAATGCTCGTTGTGTGCTTGGCCACGTTAACAAGAGCATAGAGAACAGGTAGACAGAGTTATCATTATCAAGTGCTTTGTACTTTGCCTTTCTGTGGTCTCACAAAGGCTGGTTTGGGCTCCCCCCTGTGCAAGAGAGAGTGTCAAACTGGGGCAAACTCAGCAGAAGGCCACTAAAATGGCCAAGGGGACCGAGTGCACAGCAAACAAGAAAGGTCTGAAGAGGCTGGGTTTGTTCGGCCCATCTTCAACTATCTGGGAGGGGTTTACAAAAAGAGACAGGATCGGACTCTTCTTGGAGGCGCACAGTGAAAGAATGAGGAGAAATTCTTTCCTGTGAGGGTGGTGCAGAACTGAAACAGAGAATGTACAAACATCCCTGGAGATACTCAAAACTTACCTGGATGATGCCCTGAGAGCCTAGTATAGCTTTGAACTTGGCCCTGCTCTCTTTCAACAGGGGTTTGGACTAAAGACCTCCAGAGAGAGGTCCCTTCCAACATTATTCTGCAATGCCACCAAGTGCTCAGGATAAAATAATCTGGGAAATGGCTGGAGCATGTGCGTCAGAACACGAAACAGTACCAGGAAGGGGATAAAAAGGAATTTCCAAGAGGAACTGCTTTGGGGTGAGGAACTGATCAAATGTGTGGGTGAGAAAGAGGACAGAAGCATTTACGGGAAAGGGACATTGAGCAGACTGATTGGGAGATCCAGTGCTCCCGCCAGCTAGGAGGACTAACGTTAAAAGCAAAGCAGGTATTTCACATGAGAGGTGTGTAGCAAGCTGAGCCAAAGTGCATGAATAATTAAACTCACTACTTTCTGACCACCTAGTATCTCCCAAAGCCACTTCAAGTCACGTGGTTTGAAAACGGTGAGAACAACAGTCGTATTAGGGTCATAATGGATCGGATCTGAGAAGATGGATTCTGGATAAGAAAGGCGGAAAGTTGTCCTCCTCCCGACATCCTCTTCGTACCCTATAACAGGGCCGTCATTCATTCTGCAGAGGACAGAGACACAGAGATGGCAATGACTACTCCACCCATGTCCTTACTGCGCAGTGGCTGGCACACACATTAGTCTGCGGGACAGACAGGTTGTCCAGGTACAGGAGGGTTTAGTGGCCTGGCATTTACTTATCACATTACATGGCAGACGAGCAATTATCAGGTGCACTCAACCTCTAACTCAGAGGGATCAAGCACATATGGGAACTCAGCCAAGGTGGTTTAGAATACAATCACACGACTGCTTATTGTGTGTTGCTCGACCAGAAGGCATTCTGATTTGGCTGAAACACAGAAGCTGGAGAAGACCTAAGAGAATATCTGGCTTGGAGAATTACCCATTGCTCCATTCACGCTACGAGATGATCTGAGTCATACAGGAGGCAATTCAAGAATGTTTTAATACTCTTCACTCTGTCTACAGCACACAGGAACAGGGATTATGACTGTGTACCTGACGCCAATACATCTTTATGTTTGCTTTTTTTTGTTTGCTTGGGGTTTTTTGGGTGTTGCATTTTTTTTCTTTTTCTTTAAATATTACTTGCACAGCTGCCACTGCTTTGGGATATAACAGATTAATAAACAGTGAGCAGGTGGGTCAGGTCTCTCTGCTCTGAGGTGTTAGGGGGGCTGTGTTTAAGTCTCCATCTTGCAGTTCTTGCTTGGTGGGTGTTTTATATGTTCTCTGGAGCATGGAGGCAGTCTCTGTATGCTCCATTCCTGCCAATGTGATGGACTGCTCAGGAGGCATGTCACTTAGGAGCAAATGTTTGCAAAACAAATATGCAGAGAGGGAGTATTTCAAAGCTTTATCAGAAGCCATCATTAAATACAGAATGCAAACACCACCTCTTTGTTAATTCACAGTAAAGAAATGCGTACGGTATTTCTGAAACAGAGTTGAATTTAGAGCTAGTTTTAAATGTGCGACACCAATCTACAAAAAGATTTCCATTTTAAGAAGAGTAGATAAATCTACAAGGAGCCCAAATACTTTTAATAGCTTAAAAATAATCCATGGAGCTTCTTCGCATCATAATACTATGGTGAAAATAAGTGCAAGGTGGGGTTTTTTCGTAAAGTGCAAAGTTGTCAGACAAGTAAAGTTTCCTGAGAATGGGGATATTATCTGGATCACTTTCTATAGCTTTAAGGTTATAAGAGGAGCTAAACTGAAGAATTGCATGTATTCGTTTCCACCTTACCAGTACGTTTTCAAATGCATGTCGAATTCCAGGCTTTGTATACCACTTTTTAAAGGAGTGCTTGAAGACTGAAACACTGTTACTAAAATGAGCATTAGGATTGATGGCAAAGTAACAAAAATGAGGTTTTGTTCAATGTTCAATACAATGTTGAAGCAGACAAACTGAAATGGCAGCTCAGAGGTTCTAGTGAAAGAGCAGACTATCTGACAGGGTACCTACAGGCAGAAGGGCTGTTTAATCAATTAGCATCTCAGTTCCTGCAAAGGAAAAACTGATTTATCTTTTTCTTAATGTGCAGAAAATTCTTTTATAATTAGTCAAATAGTCAATCTTCAGTTTGCTTGGCATTTGAGCTTTTGCCCCATCCGCCTCCTTGCCTGTTTCCCAGCACTTCCACAGTTTCCCTCGTCCAGATGCCTCTATCTTCAGACCCCAGCATCCTCTGGTAGGTCGAGGCATCTCATAAACTTCCAGTATGAACTAACATGCTTGACAAAAAGGGGCAGACATCAACATCATCCTCCAGTTGACACATGCCTTGGGATGGACTTCCCAGCATAAACTTTACATTTAATCTGCTCCAAGCGACAGCACAGGGGCAAGGCAGGCGTGGTGTGGAAGGTCAGAGGCAGGGCTGCCCGGGATGCTGGCTCACAGCGAGGGGCATGTGCAGGGCTCCGGGCTGTCACATGCTTGGACCCGTCCCTGGTGGCAGCATCTTGCACGTGTGTATCTGTACATGAGGCAGACTGATCATCCAGTGATCCTTCCTGCCCTGTATCAATCAGTCTGTGTACTAAAACACTGATCCATTGTTCCCTACATTTTTTTTTAAATGAAGGCTGTGACAGAGTAAGTAAAACAGGAAGTTTTATACATTTTTATTTGTATAATAACTGAACTACAAATCTACTGGCTGACAGCAAAAGTTTGTTAAGTCTTTGCATGTACACAAAATGAAAAGGAGGTACTATTTACCTTATTACCACGTCATATGAGTCAATTTTCTCCCCTAATGTCTTATTTCGAAGTACTCCTCCGTTACCGACCACAACACACCGTCGACAGGAGATGCTGTGGAACAAACAGAACTTTTAACATGTACAACTTCCCTTGCTTCATTTTGTTATTAATGATATACTTGCATTTATCTAGCTTATTTACTAACTGTGGTCCTGTATCTTTTACACTCCTTGGCCCTTACAGAGCAGTCTCAATCCTGTCTCACATGCTAAGGCTGCTTTGAAAAAATGCAGTTGCATTATTTCAGGGACTGCTGAAGTCATGAAATGGCTTCTCTCATGTGAAACTATTTTTATACGTGTCCTTTTTCTAGTGGTTTGCTGTTTAAGATCATCTAACCAGTTGGCGGTATGGGTGCCATTAGAGAAATTATTGTTCATGATGCTTCAAAACTTGTCCCAGTCGGCGGGTACACCAACCAGGATACAGTATGCCTGGAAAAACTAACTCAAATTAAGGTGCTTCTCCAATATTGTACAACTCCGCAACTCTATAGATCTCCAACATAAGCTATAGCAGCAAGATTTATGTTCACAATTTACCTTACAGGCCTCTGAATTGTCCATGTGAAAAACCTTAGCCCAGTAACACGTGATGGCTCTTCAAATGAATGTAATCATGTTGATTTTTCTCCCTCTACTTAGAAAGTGCTGTCTAAACATGTTAAAACGTGTGCTGAAGCACATGCTGTCTCATGACATAACAAGAGCGATATGCTTGATTAAAAGTTGCATTCTCATATTACTAGATACAAATAAGACAGCATTACTAAGCTTATATAACACTGAGCTGTAAATCAGGTCTTATACTACATTCAATCAAAATAGTAATTCCTTTTGAATTTAGAATATATTCAGATTTAATAAGCACCCACAAAATATATTAGGCAAATGCTAAACTTACAAGTTTAAATTCTAGTGGTAAGATTTTCCAAGTTATCCCAGGTTTTCTAAGTATCTTTTGCTCTCTACTGTCTTATTTCAATGCTAGTAAAATACGTGCTTTGCACACAGGCTGGCTGGTTTTTTACTCAAGAAATTTTGCCTCTTTAGGAAAGGTTTACATCCAATACGTAAGATTGCAAACGCCTCCTTACAGAACAAGTACATCATTTTTTTGTTGTAAAAATGCTTCTTTATTTAGAGCAAAAGCTGTTCAACTTGGTTGCAGCAGGAACAATGGCAAAATAAAAATGCTGGTATTTTCTTCAGACACAAACAGGCGCACGGCTTACTGAGGATGAGCCAACTCCCAAATGTCCCACGGTTCTTCGAATAAGAAAAAGCCTCTATGCCATTTCTTACTGTAGGGGACCCCAGGACTGTGTCCCAAAGAATACTATAATCTGTATTAAACGCCCAGTGTGGCGCTTCATGCAGACTAATTAAACATCTTTCCCCTCAGATAGCCCAGCCCGTTTTTTCAGCTGAGAAGAGCATTGTTCAACATCAAAGAAAATAGCCTGTTCCAGCCAGGACTGACCAACACCTCAATGTACAAAGCAGTTCCCTATATTTCCTACAGAATTGTTAACGCAGTTATGCTGCACTGCGTGTGGGCTGGGGAAAAGAAACTGGGCCACAAAGCAACGCTGAAAACCTGAAGCTTACAGAAAAGGTGAAATGAGAATAAATGCCAACTGTAAAAAACACTGTATTTCAAAAGAAATGCTGGGATGGCACCTTCTCACCTATGCTCTAGGGCCACATCTGCAAAGGGAGTTGCCTTTAAACACTTTTTAATATATGTGTATATATATATATCTTTTAATATATGTGTGTATATATATCTTTTAATATATATATTTTTATATATAAAAATAGTGCTGCTAAATGCAGCGCTCAGGGTGGGGTGACACGGAAAAAGCTGGCACACCTTTCTCTAGTGTTTCCTGGGAAGCTCAGTAGAAGCCAAGCATTCATAAAAAGATTTCCAGCTAATGCCACAAGTCCACGTGGCTCAGTACCTCAGAAATCAGAGGGATGAAAACCTGTTACACCACCCTGTCCTCTGTATACCCGTTCCCTCTACACCCACAAAACCCTTTCCTCTCTGCTCCAGGACTGCTTCAGCCCATACATTTTCAAATTAGTTTTTCAATCTAGTTTTAAGATATCCTGAGAAAGCAGGCTGATGAACATACACCCCTTGCAAAGTTTACAGTGGGAAGAAGGGCACAGAAGTTAACCCTTTTCCTAAATTACACTCTGTTACTTGCAGTTGTTTCATAGAGCTCAAAGCAAGATCCTGGGCAACAGAGGAGCAACAGCAAGGAGAAACAGGAAGGAAAAAGGAAAACTGGACAAAACCCACAATTAGTAAGTGACAAAGGGGAAGGGGGGGGGGGCGGGCGGAAGCACAGAATTAGTGTACAGTTGTATCACATTTTCCTATCATTTACAGCATGCCTCTGTATATCAGTGAAAGTTTCACACCACCTCAAACCTCTGAATTCAACGTCACCAAAAGTTACGTGGCCGCAGCTGGGTAACTGAGGTACAAACTTCATCACCACAATGCAAATCCTAAACTGCTACTCATACTCCAACTCCCGGTGGTACCTCCGAGCCAAAGCATCCATCCCTGATGCGTGGCAGACACCCTGGTTTGGCAGCAACTGACACACCATGCATGAACTCATCTTCAGGTCTCAATAAAAAGCCAGGAAAATTACTCCTAATCTTGCTGAATATTTTCTTTTATACTCTCTGACTACTTGGTATGAATTCACAAAAAAGACATCGACTCCATTACAAGTCATTTGCATTACTCTGACCATGGTAAGCAGCCAGAAAGTTACTCAGAGGAGGCACTGCTTGTTCTGTCCCTTGTAGATGAACTTTAAGTGATTCCTTATTACAAACCTTCCAATTTTTGGCAAAGGCTATGATTTAAGAAGCTTCTTCACTATGCCAATCCCTAGCTATTGAAATAATGCTTTCCACTCTGGTATTAAACAGAAGAGCTCTTTGGTTTCTCCTCTCTGCACTGTGAAGCTGTGATGTAGCAGGACACACTCAGGGCAGGGAGGGTAAAATAAAATGTGACTTTAGAGCTGGGCAACTGAGGTTCACACTGAGAGCATCTGGGTAGCTTCTCTCAAGTCAAATCCAAGCTCTCTTCCCTCTTACTGGTGGATGCTGACCAGATCTTGCCTATGGCCAAGAGCTGACTAATACTGCTTGGATGGAAAATGGAGTGAAATTTGAAGTTTGATTAAGCTTTCAAACGCCAGTGGCCTTAGTAACATGCATACTCAAAAATAAAGTTACCACCTGCCTTCAAATAACCAATAAAGCATCTAACATTGGTATGTGAACTTCTGAAATGGATGAAGTCAACAAGCAGGTCAAATACTCCCAATGAATTGTATATGAATACAGTCATAAATATGGTCAAACAAATTAGAAAGACCAGCTTTTAATCTCCGTCAAGCTCAGGAAGTCGAAGTAGGCCAACTCAAAACAGGAAGTCTGGCATGAATGTGCTATTTCTGAACTGCCTCCTCTCCTTATATCCCTCCCCACCCCCCCCCCCCCCCCCCCCCCCCCTCCCCTCCCCCCCCCCCCCCCGGTATCAAGTATCTCCACTTAAGATCATAGGTCTATGTGCACAGTAGCACAGATTCCACTGACAACGATAAGGAGGGAGGGAAATGGCTTATGCTAGAGTAAAAAACCAGAACATATCATCATAGGAAACCAACATATGAAATGGAGATAAAGAATATGTAGCAAGGCTGGACTGTATTCAAAGATATTTAAGTTAAATAAACCAACCTGTACTTACTGTACACAGAAATCAACACATTGATTTTCATCAGACTGTTACTCCCAGATATTTTACCAACCCCACTTCTTAAAGTTTCCTTTTTCATAATGTTTTCATGTTAAAAAAAAAACCAAAAAAAAAACCTCATCCTTTCTCCAAGTCAAAAAATTGGCAAGAAGAGAAAAAAATTCAGATGTCTTTAAACAACATCGGGTGTGCTACAAGTGAAATGTAACAGACTGAAATGCCTGGAGATCCAGCTTACAACCACGAGCACAATATTGACAAAAGTGAGCTACGACAACTGCTACAGCAATGGTTTGAGTGACTAAGGGATTGCATTTAGGTGTTAGAGATCTACTTAGAGTATAAATGGATCCTGATGCAAATCACATGGTAGCTGATCTCCCAACACCTAAATGCAATCCCTTTAGTCACTCAAACCATTGCCCTATTCACGTGGTGTGCAAGAGCCTCTTAATCGCAAGGCCAGGCATTAGTTTACGTACTTTGTTTATATGGTGAAATGCTAAAAGAAACATTTTCTTGGTCTAGAAAAGAAAAATACTGTTAAATGGAAACGTAGCCTTTAAAGGTCAAAAGGCTTGCATCCTCCACATTCCACAGAAATCCTGTTTCTCTGCAAAATGAAAAAGACGACTGCAACTTCAACTCCTTTACCACACACCTCCACCATAGTCAGTTGAGGAATGCAAATTATTTCCTTTGAGGTTATTTGGTAAAAGGAGGATGCAAAGGTCCCATTGTGTTGACTCGGGATTGTGTAAATGCATTTGTAAGCATTCACTGCTGTTGAGCTTAGAGTCCTGAGAGTGCCCAATGAGTCATTAGGAGGAAATGGGTAGAGCAGGTGTTCAGATGTTACTCTCTGGATGCATCCCTAGCCTGGAAAACCCTTCTGCTACGGGCTGTTCCACTGAAGTCAGTGACACTGTTCACTTCCAAACAGTATTGGAGAACTAGACCTTTACACAGTGAGAATTCCACCTAAGCTTGGAAAATGGCACTGTTTGCAAAAAAATCCTTTGTAGCTCACTATGTCCAGTTTTACCTAAGTCACACACAAATACAGCTATATAAGCACCATAGATTTGGTTTTCACATAGCCTAATATTTGTTAAAATACTTTATAATGGGTTCCCTCACTCTGCCCCAAGAAAAGTTTCTAGGGAAATTCTGTTTGCATTCTGTCAAGAAGGCTGAATTAGGCACTAGCATTACAGAGCTGCCTAATAATTCTGTATTACCAGAGAATGTTTTTAGGATTAATTCCCAAAGTGTTTCACATTTAGAAGCCACTGTACCTCAGTTAAATGTATATACAAAAGCTTTTTCTTTACTACAGTGATTCATGTTCTAACAGTGCTAGACACAAAACCTGGTGGATCTAGAAAGAATATATTGTATGAAGTCACTGTACATATGATTTGTTTATACTACTGCCTATTAAATAGTAATAGGTCTGTTTGCTTCAGTATTACTGAAGTATATTACTTTTATTAAAATGAAGCATACTTCCCAGAACCACTAAACATATCTATATCTCAGAGAACCTACATTCAGAGGATAAATACCAATTACCTTACTTTTGATCTATAGGACAGACACTTCCATGTAAAAGGTACTATGCCGTACTGCAAGCGTCTCTACTTCACAGTCAGAATGATCTTCTGAACTTGTGACTTCAAGAAATTTCTGATACAACATTTAGCATTTTCTTTCAAACTCCAGACAAAAGGCTCACCTTTATCAGTGACTTCTGTATAAATTTCACCGATTATCAGACTCCTGAAAGAAAACAGGGGGGTTTCCTTCCCCCCCCCCTTTAAGAGTAAACCTGAACATCCTAGAAATAGATACTGAACACAGGGAAAGGAAGGAGTGCAGTAGGTGAAGAACTAGGTATTAAAACCAAAATAATTCTTAGCCTTGAACACCTATTATTTTGTTCATATTCCACCCAAGTTTAATTAAAATGTGATCCTGGCATTTTGCTTGAAGCAACAATCTTCTGTTTGATCTTCTTGATTGAAAAACAAAACCAAGTACAGCCAACCTCAGCGTTATTTGCATTCAACTCTATTAAGAAGTCTGCATATTAACATGAAATATGGTAGGCTGTCAGCCCATTTGCTACACTCCAAATCTATGAAGTCATTTGCATCACTTGGTAAACACAGATATAGTATATTTGCCAACCTTACTACACTACCTCCAAAAAAAACCCCCAAACCAAACAAAAAAACCAAACCAAACCCTAACAAGAAGACACACACACAGAAAGACCCTCCAAAACCAAACAAAAAATCCTGGCATAAGTGGCTTCCAACCAGGAGATTTAAACAGGGCAATCTAATGCATAGGAAGCAACTTATCAAAGGCATGCTCCACTCCGTGCCACACCCTGATTACTCATGAAATGCCAGGAACAGCCTTCCCTGGCTACCTAATGTCTCCCTCATTCACAGGAAAAGGAAGCTGAACGTACATATGAACAAAGACAAGGGTGTGGAGCAGGCCAGCGGATGCAGTGGCACAGGGATATGCGTAAGATTTCTTTTGTGTAGAAACAGTCATTGGTTTGCATCTGTTTTATCTCAAACATTCTCTAGCTTACACTAATAATGACTTTGAAAGAGGACATCCCATTCCATTTCTAAGGAATGGTTTCATTTTCCTCAAGTGTAAAAAGATACTACAGGAAGATGGGACTGCATTCAGCTAGCAAATTCCTAACGCACTTACAAAAAGTAATCTGTATGTTTGAGCTCCTTCACAGAAAAGTTATTCTTGAATGCTGGTGCTACATATGTTTAAAATCAAACTTATTTAAATCTTGGAATCACATATTGCTTGGATACTGTCGGTCAGGTCTGCATCTTGGCTAATGAGCAATTTCAGGATAACACCACTGACATTCCTTTTCAGATAAATATTAAGTATTAAAAATGCAATGAACAAAAGCAGTAGCAAATACATCATCTCACCTGTCATTTTCATTGGAAAGTCCACAGTTCTGCAGTCTTGAAAGGGCTAAACGAAAAAATTGCTCTAGAAAGCAAATATAAAGAAGATCAATGAAAATGTTCAATGCTTTCCAATATAAAAATAAGCATTTTCAGGCACAGTAGTTTTTAAACACTGTGCATAAAAAACTCAAAATAAGAACACTTGTAATTTAGGGCCGCAGGCCAATCAATGATGACAAAGGAATTCAGGTTTATCAAGAGTTCCTCTCTGGGAAGCTTTTCCTGCCCAGAGACACTCCCCTGCCCAGACCTGCAGGGTACCAGGAAGGTGCACTCTTCAGTGTTAAAAACTCTGAGAGTTTTTTAAAAGACATTATGACCCTTTCCAAAAGGGCGACTAAGACCCTAAGGATCTCTGCCCTGACCAAGGCAGGCAGCAGGCATGAGCAGGCAAACATTTTGCCGGGGTACAGCAGCCATGAAATGGCAGGAATACCTCCTGCAGCCCCACTGACACCTTCCCTGGTGGGAGAACCTAGAACAGTAAAAGAAAATTCTGCTCATGTAACTGCTGCAACCTGGGGACTTCTGCCTCAGTAGGACTCTGAATCCCGATCGGCTTAGGTGTGTTGATCAAACCCCATCACACCAACCCAGCTAGTATTTCACCTAGCAAAACGCTAGCTAAATATCTTTAGCAATCCAGTCCGCATGCAAACGAAAGGAAGCTGAATAAGCTCCACTGTTCCTCACTCCCACCTTCTTGGAGCTCCTCTGCTAAGAGGGGCAACCCCAACACGGTGTTTTATTTGTTAAAAACTGGAAGGTGCCAGGTCAGAGAAACTAAATGAAAGTCACTGCTAGATACACCCAGAAGGACTGGCACCGGTGAATGGGAAAGACCAGGGCCAGAGATTCAGGTGGCTTTACATGCCGTTTAGGTATTTCTGTTTAAAAACAAGGTACACAGGGAACACAAACCTGCTCTCTTTATTCCATAAGGTAGTTCAAATTTATCGCTCCCGTGGAACTCTGCCGTTCTGATAAAATCATTAGCGCACAGGAATGGGTATATTTTGTCAACACTAATAAAGGAAAAAAGTAAGAACTTTCAAAAATCCACTTTGTATTTGAATAAACCAATAATTCATGCAATTGCTTTTAAAAAAACATTTCTTTATCCTACTTCAAGTATTACCAATTTTTAAAAGAAGAAAACTCAAGCACAGGGAAAGAAAGCAGGTGACAGAAAAGGGGAAGATTTTATAACAGAAAAGATAGAAAGATAAAATGATTTTTCTGCTAGCATAAGTTATATAGAGTGATTAAAATCGCATGACTGAAAGCTTACACCATGAGACAGCATATTTGAGAGAGTACATAACCCAGGAATACAATTAATAACTTCAGGTTTGAAAAGTACCCAACAGAGACAGCAAGGAAAATTAAGTGTTATTAGTCTATATGGCAATTTAATAAGCAAGAATAGGATTTGAAGCAAGGTGTTTTAACTTGAAAATACCATCTTGTGAAGACATCAGCTTATTTGAGATGTGCTCCCATTCCAAACAAGTGGCACTTTATGGCTGTGTTGACATTAGTAAGTAGTTGGAGTAAGAGGAGTATATCTATACAGCAAAAAAGTATGGAGTTCTCCTGTCCACATCACACACATCTTGGGTTGTTTTGGGTTTTTTTTTTTTTTTTTTTTCTCTGGACTAACTCTAGTAGGGTCCCACAGACTGAACACCCTTTAGCAGCTGCAGCACATTAGGTGTGCTCCTGCAGTGCATCTTCTGGCTTAGCCAGAAGTCAGGGGCCTGAAAGGAGCCCAGTGCACACATGCCAGGGCCACCCTGCGATGAGAAGCATGGCACACGGGGATCACAAGGGAGGTCTGCCTCAAAAGTTCAGTCCTCCTGCAAACTAGAACATGACAGTGTCATACCTTGTAAGTGTCAAGATAGAAAGAAAGGGTCACTTCTTTCTTCAAAGGACAGTAACCACAGACAAGGGTTATCTCATAGCATGGAAGGGACTCTTACTACAATTTCTGCCAAGTCAAGCCAAATAAACGAATAGTAGGCTTGATCCTGTCAAATGCTACCATGCCCTTGGCTTCACCTCGGAGTTAAGTGGACATGCACTCACTGAACTGGTTGACTTTGTAGCAATCCTATATAGTAGGTCTTATATTAGAATGTTAACACAGAAGTATACAGCCACAGTGGGAAAACCTAAAGTTGATCATAACTACCCACAGCCAGCGCATGACTTGTTTCTCCAACAAGAATATGAATAGCTTTAAAAAAAAACCCTCCCCTCCCAGTTTTGCAAATCAAGTATCTCACTCTTTAAGCTCTACGTATTCAGAAGATACAAACAGTAAAAAGGAAAAAAAAAAAAAAAACCCCCACACACCAAAAAACAAACAAAACACCACAGCCCACACACCAAGAACTGGGCCATAGGTTAACAGCTTATTTTGAGACATCATGCACTAAACACCCATATTAAATGTAGTAACTTGCCTTGCTTTTCCGAAGCAGCTGGTAAGCTTAGACATGATAAATCATTTACCTACTGCAAAGAGATTCTTAATACCAGCTCTGGTTCCTTTCCAATAAGTAATTCTGCCAGGTTAGAAATCCTTTCAACCTCCCCAGGCTATTACCAAAGTGCACAGACCAGATCTTCAGCTCGTGCAAACTACCTCTGTAAAGGAGCTATGGAAATATGCAAGAGACTCTGTTCTAGCTCTGCACCTGCTTTCTTCTTGCTGTGCATCTCTGAGTCCGTTCCTGCCCTCCTGCTCAGCACCAGAGCTACCCCTGCTGTGCCCAACACAGAGGCAGCCTGGGCACACCCCGTGGGCAAGGGACCTAGGACTCTGGGCTAGGCAGCTAACCAAATCTCAAAGACTACAGGACTGCTTTGGGGAGGACAAACTTGAGATCCTTCCATGTTCTTTAAAATAATAATAGCACTGAATTAAAGCCATTGTTTTCTTGTACACAAAAAGGACCAAAAAAAGCAGCAAAGGTGGCTTTCCTCAGAGCTTTAAGACTCCTTCAGCCAGGGCTTGGTTTAAACATCTTCCCAAGCTTTCTCAGGGCCATACTCAATGTTTGCTCAAGTAAAACACAAAGCCAACTATATAGCCTGTCTGCTTCTGGTCCTGTAGCACTTCCTTGATCTGTCATTCAAGACCTGTGCTTCTAAGGACAAAAACTCCCAGCATTTTCTCACAAACCTCTTGGATGCACTTTTGTGACCAGACACCTCCTTTGTTTTGGGTTGAAGCTCTTCCTTTTTTCATCCAACTACTGCTTTACAAAGGAGGCTTCCTATGAGTACCTTTAAGCGGAGGACACCTACACACTATTCAACAGTACTATCAGAGGAACAAAACCGTGAATAACCCCGAATGCTATTAAAATTAAATTCCATTAAAATTAAAATTCCAACGAAGAGGAAGAATCTGATATCATTAAAGACTGGATGAATTTTTGTACATTTTATACTCCTCTTTCCAAATCAAACAAAGAGATTTTCAAAACTTCTTTGGTCCCTGGCTGCTACAGAAATACCTAGCTACCAGAAAATCTTAATATTTTAAGTCCAGGTTCTTAATAGCAGAATGACTGAATTTTGATCTTGGACATGAAGGCTTCTTTTACAGGAAAAGCATGGGGGAAAAAAAATGAAGGCTTGTATTTCAATCTTTAAAACAGTTCCACTGTTACCAGCTACAATATCTGAACAGGAAGTATTTATTTATTCAGTACATACACCAGCATGTTGAGCTAGTTGTGTGGTATTGCTCAGATGCTGATCAGTGGCAACTTGTGTTGCCACAACTAGGAAAAGCAGCAATGAACCCAAGCTCAGAAGCTGTACTTCCAGACATGAATCAAAACATGAAATAGTCCAGAATATGCAAATAGCCCATTTCTAGTTCAGTCAGCACAGCCTTGCCTTTGCCCCCCACCTTCCCACAGAAGACTCACCCCAGTAAAGATTCAAATGCTGGTTTCTGGAGACAAGAGTCCAGCACATTCCTTCTCTCCACAGCTGTAGGTGGCAGCCTGCAAAAGAAGAATTGGAAAGAAATAGCAAGAACAGAAACAGGTAGCAGCAGCAAGGTAGGGAAACTCGGACAAGCCAAATTAGTAAAAGCTGATTACCGAGTTCACACCAAATTTTCATGATTGCCTCTGTATTGTAAAGATGGATCTTTCTCGTTGCAGTACAATTACTCTTACTAGTAAAGGCTTTTATCTCATGGTGCTGCTCCAAGGGGTCTGCAACCTCCCTTCCTCAGCAGCTCATCAAAGCAGCCATAACCAGAGGTGGGACCTCAGGCCCACCTGCAGAGAAGTAGGACACCTGGGCTGAATCGCCCCTGCAGCCATACCAGACGGCATCACCAGCGCTCCTCAGAGAGGAGAGGGGAGTCTTGTTTGGAGTGGAGAATAGACAGCATCACACAGGGTACTTCAAGGAAAATGAGATTCTTTGGGGATAAGTCATTCCTCTCATAATAAGGCTAAGACTTACACTTCTGAGCACATTCCCACCTTGGCGATTTAGCCCAATTAATAAGAAATATGAAGCCCAGAAGGGAGGGTAAAGTTCAGTGTGAGCAATGCATGCATCTGGGCTGCATTAAGAACAGAAGGATGAAACCACCACATTAGAACCACAAGCCAAACAGACCATTAAGGTTAATTGCTTTTGGTAACCTCAAGTTGTCATGTGAATACTGACACTGAGAAAGCACCCTGTGAAATGTATCAGCTGGCCAGCTCATTGCTTTCCAGCATCAGCCTCACAGATGGCATTTTGCAGGATTATCTTCGAGAGAAGACAGGCCTGCTTTTAAGTTTTAGCATAGGCGCTCATTAGTCCCACAAATGTAACTACAGGAATTTACTAGCACAAGATCTGCTTATACATGCACTTGCACAAGTCAACCACACCTCTGATTTGTTAGATTTTAAGCACAAAAGTTGCCCTCGTAGCTCTCCTAATTTTCTTCAGGTATAACTCAGAATTGCAGAAATTTTGAAGTTATAAACAAATGTCCTTCCAACAATTCATTGCTTGTTAGAGACAGCCACTGTAAGTGGCCATAAATATTAACCAAACACTGGAAACATGACATGGACAAATTCCTTTCTGCCAGACATGTTACAATTGTGTTCATAACAGAAACAGCCAACAGACACAGCTGTATAATAACCAATTGCACAGGGAGCCTACAGACAAAGGCTCTGGATTTTAGTCTCAATCCCTCTGACCTGCCTAAAACCCAACCAACCAACCAAAAAAAACCCACCACAAAAAATACTCAACTGCTGAACTTACTGGGTAACTCCACCAGTCTCATAGGAAGGAGGAGCCCTCACAGAGGAAGTCTGTCCATAAAAGCTAATCCTGCAAAAATGGAAACGTCACAACACTGTGGTTTGCTATAAAAAGAAACCGCAACAGAAGGCCATTCGTATCAATTGTATGCTATAGACAAGAGAGAGCACATCAATCACTGCTTTTAAAAGCTATGGCTATTATCTTCATAACACAAACACACTGATCAGTCCTGGTCACAGCTGTGCAAAAGGCCAATGGAAACTCAACTCCTTCGATAAGTGCCCTGAATTTTAGGTCCCAAGCCACGTGTCCCATGCAGCTTGGAGTCAGTGAAGGCTCACTTCCCACAGGGACTGCCACTGGGACTCAACAAATTTCAGCTCTTCAAAAGGTGCCCACTACACCCGCAGTTACTCCCATGTGCGGAGCAGGTTGCTTGCATATCCTTTATCAGACATCTTAAAGGAACAAGCTAACACTAAACACACATGGGGTGGGAGGAGATAGGGACACACGACACACACAAATAAGATCTCTCCTCACCTGAACACCTATTTTCATAGAACTCAGAGGGGCTCCCTATCTCTGAGGTCCTGACCTCTCCATACAACCAGGCTCAAATTGACTACTAGGTTTAAAAGTGACACGAGAGAAGGGGCGACAGGACAGAATGATCACATTCATTCCCTCACAGTACAAAAAAAAAAAAAAAAAACCAACCACAAACCAAACACACACACGCAGAGCAATAATCACTTCTGTTGATTACTAGTCATCAACAGAATTGTTGTTGCTGTTCAGCCACAGATGCATCTCATACAGCCATGAGGGTGTTTGCACTGTAAGTGAACAAAGCATCACCATACCAGTAGAGGTTATTTCTCCACAGATTTCCATGCAGTATACCATACATAACAGCAGCAGCCAGGATGAAAAACAGAAGAATTCGTTTCATGACTGGTAGACCTGAAATGTAAGAAAAACAAAACCAGAAACTTAAATCCAAGTTATGCTATTAACGTGAAGTTTTATAAAGCAACTTGAAACCTATGAAAGGAAATCATTATTACAGCCATTCTCCACCACCACAAATTTGACGGGGGATCACTCCAGTTTGATTTCTCACACAAAGTCCCAGTAACAGGAGCTGAATGCTGCTTCACACCTACCACATGCTCATACTCTGCGCAGCAGCACTGAGAGAGGCTCACTCTAGGTTCTCTCTGAAGACACAGGAGGAAGATGGGCTCTTCCAGAAGCATGCCAGAGTAGGAGCTCTGTCAGCCCAAAGAAACCAGCCTCTTGGGTCAGAAGTTGGCCTTTACAGGTACCTGCGCTTCTCCCCTTTCTTGCACCACCCACTACCAGCTTCCATAATTAGACAGTTAAACAAGCACTGGCACTTTGCAGGAGGCAGACAGGCTGATGCTGATGAAGCAGAGCAGAGTATGAGCTGCCACAAACTGCAGTTGGGTTTTTTAGGATCACGGGATATTCTTAAAGTCTGGTTTTGGACATTTAAAGCTGCACTGACGCTATCTGCTTATGCCCTCATGTCCTGCAGTCTCCAGCTCCTGACACAGGCTAGGCTTCGTTGCTCAAATGACAGAAAAATGCTATTTTCACACATCACAAAGCGAGGAAGAGAAGTTAGGACCCAATCTGTGGAACTTACTAAGTTAGGGAAAAATAGCAGAGAAAGTGTTCATTTTTCAAAAACGAGTTTTCACCTCATTGCACAGTCTAGTAAAAGAAAACCAGATAAATATCAGAAGCTCATGTAGCTGGCAGAAAACCTGGGGGAAAAGCAACTTCTGCATTGCTCACGTCTAACACACTGAGCTGCCCTTTCAGTAGCTATGAATGAACTGTTGTTGCTTCATCTTCTGAAAGTCCAAAATAGCCATCCTGGCCACAAGTTACTGTGGAAATTTACTTGAGAGCTATATCCTTCTATTATTTTAACTTCTCCCCCTATCATAGGAAGCAGGTTCAATGAATGCAATGCATAAACACCTACTTGCATATCTGTATTTTAAAGTGAAGGTAGCAAAAAGCTGTCCAGCAAACCCAAGCCATATCCAAACACACTGCTGCATCTTCCAAGAACACAGCCTCTGGCTTTATGGTTTGTTATTTCCTTTTTTTTTTTTTTTTTTTTAAATTCCATGTTGCTTTTTAGAGTCGCTGTTATTTTAAAGCCGCATTAAACAGCCCTTAGGCAGTAAAACTCAAGGTAGATATAGTCCAAGGGATTTAAAGCAATATGCTTTATGCTAGTAACATCTTAATGTCAGACCTTATATTAAAGGCCAAGAAACTACTAGAGCGTGCTACATTTTGTTATTAGAAATTGAGAAGCGAACTACTGCCACTTATATAGCTTCACCCCTGATGAAATACCTAACTGAACTATTTCTTACAATGACTAGAGAGCAACAAGCCACCACACTTCCTTATTCACAGGAGTTTAATTGCAGGGTCAGAGATGGGGTTTTATAACAGCATCTACCAGTAACAAAGCCATGCAATGAACAAGCTATAATCTATCAACCTTAAGTATATCCTCCAGGCTGCCCTGCTCTGTTCTGGACAAAATACTTACAGGCTGCAGCTGTTACTATTTCAACCTTTCACCCCTCCTCGAGAAGTATCACTGCCTCCCTCACACCTCCGATCCCCTGGACTCTTCTTGAAGAGTCACTGCAATTTTTTTTTGACAGTCACTCTCAACTTCTAGACCAAACCCTGAGTTTTTCCAATAGTTTTGTAAGTCTTTCCCCAAAACTAGAAGAACATTACAAGAAAACTCATATACTGGGTTTAGTCAAGTGTCATTAACAGCAATTGGCTCGCTCACTTGAAAAAGATACTACGTGCTCTGGGGTTTTTTTTCCTTTCATTGTCAGTATTTTTACCCCCTCCTGCTTTGCAAAAGTTTGCTAAAATATCCCACTGAAGTGGAAATCCACTCTTTACTTTTTACTTCCAATTCAGTTAATGACTACCTCAGTTAAACAACAGAATATAATGAACCAGCTCTTCAGATAAAATTCTGTTCGTAAATTGTTTACAAAGATATATACAAATATAGCCTGCAAATAATTCATTAAAACAAGAGAATGTAAAGTCAATGTCATTCTTCAAACAGGATCATAAGGAGTCTGTAACAACTTTCAGTATTTTACATAGGACATTCAGCCTGGCACACACATATTAAGGGTGTACTTAACTCAGCTCTTAGGAACATAAAATGGTCTTTAATTATACAAGTGTCTTCTCACCATCCCATCCCCCAGTACCTAGCTTCATTTGGTGCTTTGAAGAGGAAGTTCTGTAGTCAAGATGGTCTTTATAGTGAAGAATTCCTTAACCAGCAGGTTAGTAAACAGAACCATTGCCTTGTTTATGGAAGAAACTATTCTGGGTATATTTTTAATTTTGACAGCATTTTCCAGCTCTCCCTTCCTATTTTAAAATAGCTGAGTGTTACAGAAAGTTAATCAAAGGAAAACAAACTCCTACAATTCAAATATTGCACTGGAAAATTCCCACAGTCAGAGATGCAAGAAAATAGGCAACTGACAAGACACAGTTCAGATGTAAAATGACAGTCACATTGCAGCTTATTTATCACAAGACAAGACACAGCATCTTGGTATAAGCCCATCAACCTGACTGACAGAGGTCACGGTGCCCTTAGGTCAAGGTCAGTCAGGGTTAAGCAAAACAAGGAGGACAAAGCTGGAGCTCAACTATTCAATTCCCTCCTCTTTCTAAAAAGCCTACAGTGATCCACACAATGAAAGGAGCGAGGAACCCAACATGCCAATGCCCAACATTCACACTGTTAGCTGGTCGATTTTCTGAAAGCAAGCAAGCAACGGGATGCATTAAGTATTGTAAAAAGATTAATGGGCATTTTTTAACAGGAATCTAAGCTAACTTCTGCTGTTCAACTTTGCACCCCTGCCAAGTCAGAGCTACAGTTACAGAATTAGACAGGACAGACTCTGTTACGGTATTAAGAGACCTTGGAGATCAGTCCTGCATCTCCAATGGACAGATGGGTCCACCCAGCTCCCACCAACTCACCACAGAGATGCATCTGGGTATGTGACAAATTCGCTATATAAGCCCAGCTCATTTCTTCTTCCCTGGGTAGAAGTGAGGAACCAACGTCCTTGTCAGAGCTGCATCTTCACTTACAATTACCTTTATTCTGCTACTTCCGTAAGCGTGGCATCTGATACGAGCCACTATCTCGTAGCCTCTGCTTATCTTTCAACTTACATAGGCAGTTGATGCAGCCATGCCACAGAATAAAGTAATCATGCAGGAAACTACAGCTGTTGGACTGGGCAATCACATGACCACACTACAATCGCCTTTTTTGTAACACTGGTAAGCCTTCCTTTTGCTTTCTTGCTTAAAATTAGGTTGTTAATAATAAGCAGGAGGCTTTTCCATCTGTTCTACTTATTTTGTAAAGCACCCTTGACTATTACTAAAGTAAATAGTTAATAATTAAACTAAAAGGTGGTTACCACTAAATTAAATGCCACTCATCTTAAAACAATCTTAGCTCCATACCTAGTCTTGTGACAGCTGAACTTCTTGCTGTTGCAACTAACAGCATGAAAATTTCAGCTCACTGAGACCTCAAATTCCTAACCCTTGTAATTGTGGGGGAGGAAGGGAAGCGAGCTTGAAAATATGCTTTGAGTGGACCTTGAAATTTAAAGGGACAGAGGAAAAAGCACATAAAAACCTACTAAAGTTTAAAAAGAAACATCAGGAATTTTAAGATGCAGGCAGTATTTTGTGAGCTTGCTTGTGCTCACCAGTCCTGCAGCACGGCTTCCTTTTGGTCAGAACGTAGTGCGTGCCCGGTGGAACAACTACACAGCAAATGGACAACCAAGGAGGGAGTTCTCTCATGTTCTCATTTGTCTCAAGTTAAGCTGCTAAACGTGAGCACATTACGGCACGTATCTATGTATTTCTTCTGCCAAATCTATACTCGATTCATCATTAACTCTTCCAGTTCTTGCTCTAAGTACGTGCATGGTTCATTAATTCTCCCCCTCTTCAAGAAGGAAATGCTGTGGCGGACAATACGATAGCACAGCAGCAGTCTGAAGTGGCTGAGTCAGTCCAGTGCCTTCCCTCACACACTCCTTAATTTTTTTCATCATTTCCAATGCTCCTTTTGATTTTAGTTTATTAAGAAACAGAACTCCTCAGAAGTGTTAAGTTTAAATGAGGAAGGTAGATATGCTGGATTATCCCAGCAAAGCAGCCCTGAATTAAAACTACATTTCCAACTCGCTGACAACAGTGACTTGGTTTTGAAGTGGCAAGTTTAACAGCATCTTAATTGGAAAAGACTCTCGCTAATCTGCCCCACCCCACACAAAGCCAAAGCAATTATTCCTGCTCCTGAAGGCCTGCCCAAACCATGACATCAAAAAACTAAGGCTTTACTGTGTCAAAATGTCATTGGGGACTTCCACCAACACACCACACATATGATCTTTACCAGCAGTTGAAGAATTTTCCTGCACTGAAAGATAAGATGTTTTCAGGCTTTTTCTGCCCTGCTCCCTTTCAGTGATGAGGGGATAAGCAGTAGAAGAGTCTGCCAACTATGAAAACTGGAGCCTTCTTTCCTTCCAACAGCATACTGAACTAGCCATTACTTCAACAGCATCCTGATTAACTGTGAATAAAGATGTCTTCCTCTAGAGACAGCTTCTCTTTGTTAAGGAGGGTTTCCAATGTTTCCCCTAACATTTCCCCTTTCTCCAACTACTACAGAAGACTTAAAAAGAGAACAGCAGGATTTCCTCCAAGTACTCAACAGCAAACAAGGATGGCCAGTAGATCTAGTATCAGAGTAGTAGTGACGTTCATTCAGTAGATGTCGTTAACCCATGTTCTTTATCAGCTACTGCGGTCAGAAA